ATTTGACCTCAGGTCTTCCTGACTCCAGGCCCAAAGCTCTAGCTGCCTCTTAATTTCTTCTACCTGTGCCCTTAATCCTATCCCCATATCTTCCTGGACTTTACTCTTATCAATCATTTACTCTCTCTTTTCTTCAACCCCTCCTTCTCTATTGCCTTCTTTTTCACAGACTATAAATGTGCTTGTGTCGTATACCTGTCCCAAACTTCTAAAAAAGGAGAGTTCAGGCTATATTTGCTGTCTCTACTTCCTTACTGTTTCCTCAATCCATTGTAGTCTGACTCTGCTAAAACTCCCTGTCATCACTGACCTCCTTGCTGTGCTGATAGTCATACTATTGGAGATGGGAGAGGGAAGAACTAGGACCCAGACACTCCTTGTACTCCTATGTTGTGTCTTCCAGCTTTAACACTCACCTTCTTCTTCTTCTTCTTCTTCATCTTGTTTTTTTTTTTTTAGGCAGTTGAGGTTAAGTGACTTGCCCAGGGTCACACAGCTAGTAAGTGTCAAGTGTTTAGTCTGAGGCTAGATTTGAACTCAGGTCCTCCTGACTTCAGGTCTGGTGCTCTTTCCACGGCACCACTTAGCTGCCCCAACACTCACCTTCTCTCCTTTCTATTTTCCATACACTCTGTCAGCTCACCTCATTCACTCATACTCGACCCACTTTTCCAAGCTCCTGTTCTGTCCTGAATGCATTGAATTCCTCCCATGCTGATTGATCCTTGTACTAAATTCCCTTTTTTTTCTCTCAACGCGCCAGCTCCACTGTGACCATAAGATTAGCTCTTGGTCCACCCTTTTTCTTCCACCATACCCCGTTGAGTGTCTAACCACTAATAACCAGCTATGAATCAATCAATCAACTAACCAACACTCATTTGTTAAATGCTTACTATGTGCCAAGCTCTGGGCTTAGCTCTAGGGACATAAAGGTTGCTAGCCTGAGTGACTGAGAGGATGATGGTGCCTTTGACAGTAATAAGAAAGGAAGGAAGAAGGGGAAGTTGGTGAGGCGAGGCAGAGAAAAATAATGAGTTATATTTTAGACTTGTAGAATTTCAGATTCAGTTTGAGATGTCCAAAGAGCAATAAGGGATTTAGGATTAGGACTCAGGAGATAAGTAGATTAGGGTTGGACCATGGGATCTAATGAGATCACCAATAGATGGTATAGAGGGAGAAGAGAAGAGGGCCCACACAGAGCTTTGGGGAATACCTGAGGCTAAAGGGCATGACATGGATAAAGGGCCAGCAAGCAAGAATGAGAAGGAATAGTCAGGAGGAGAACCAGGAGAGAATAGTGTCATGAAAACCTAGAAAGAAGAGTATGCAGGAGGAAATGGTGATCTAGGGTATCAAAAATTACAGAGAGGTCAAGGATGACAATTGAGAAAAGATTATTAGATCTAGCAATTAACAATTCATTGGTGGGGCAGCTGGGTGGCGCAGTGGATAGAGCACTATCCCTGGAGTCAAGAGGACCTGAGTTCAAATCCAGCCTGAGACACTTGACACTTATTAGCTGTGTGACCCTAGGCAAGTCACTTAACCCCATTGCCTAACCAAAAAAAAAAAAAAAGAGAGAGTTCATTGGTAACTTTGGGGAGGGCAAATGACAGCTGAATGATGATATTAGAAGGCAAACAGAAATTAGAGGAAAAGAAATAGAGGCACCTAGTTTGCATTCTCAAGGAGTTGAACAGAGAAAGGACAGAGAGATATCAGAGAAGTCTACTTCCTGATGTTCTTGAATAGTCACATTGTGGGCAGCCAAATTACGTCATTACCTGTGACACACAGTTGTTTGTTCTTCCTTTTCTACATAATCTTGTGATATCTTTTACCTCTGACACATAACTTTCCAACCTTAGTTCATACTACTCTTTCTTATATTAGATATTCAAATCATATCAGGCAGCCATGTAACTCAGTGGATAGAGCCCTTGGCCTGCAGTCAGGAAGACCTATGTTCAAATCTGGCCTCAGGTACTTACTAGCTATGTGACGCTGGGCAAGTCACTTCACCTTTGTTTGCCTCATTTTCTTCATCTGTAAAGTGGTGATAATACAGCACTTATCTCCCAGCATTGTGAGGATCAAGTGGGATAATACTTGTAAAGTGTTTAGCACAATGTCTGGCACATAGTAAGTGCTATATAAATGTTAGCTATTAGCAGCAGCAGCAGCAGCAGCAGCAGTAGTAGTAGTTGTAGTAGTAGTAGTAGTATGCTGGCTGTTCCCAGCAGGCTTTCCAAATTTCCTGGAACATACTACTTCCTTATCTTTACCTGTTGAGATCATTCTCTTTCTTTAAGGCCAGGCTCAAATACTTTCTTTTCCATGAAGCCTTCCCTGGTGGTAGCAGATGGAAATGATCTCAAAATTTGTGTTGAACTCTCCTTTGCCTCTCTCTCAGTTCTCCTTCTATTATCCTTCTTTATGTGTGTATCACATTGCCCTTATTAAACTGTAAGCTCCTTGAGGATAAAAACTGTCATTTCTCATCTTTATATTTCTGGCATCTAGGACAATGTCTTGGACATGGTAGGTACTTAATAAATGTTTATTAAATGAATTAAATTGTGTATGACATGCACATGCACCCCAGGAAAATTACTGGGCTCTTTATAGTCATTAGCATATAGTGAATATGACTCATTTTAAGAACTCTGAATGCTTTATCTTTATTTAGTCTTATGATACAAGGGGGGAAAAGCCATTTTTGTTCAAAATTGACATCTTATGTATTTCAGCATAGGTTTCATCATACAGAGAGAGGAGTACATAAAAGAAGGGTTAGTGATGTCTCTGTGCTTTCATATATGATAGCAGCACTCAGTTTCCTCATCTTTAAAATGAAAAATTTAGATTGCTAGCCTTTGTTTGAGGCAAACCTTATGCTAGCACTCTCATAGTTCAGATTTGGTGTTGGGATAAAATGAGGAACTCACAAGTCATTGAACAGTTAACAAAAGGAGGTTTTTTTCCTTTTCCTACCGTAAGGATATCCAATAAGGCTACAGTGGCATTTAGCTATAGACCATGGCCTCCTTCCTTTCCACATGGAAATGTGTCTGGACAACAGGACAGGATACTGTGGCTCTTTTAGTCTTCAGAAACCCACCAAGGCTGAGGGCCCCAATCCTGCCTTTTTATGCCATGAAGCTGCTTCAGGGAAGTAGGGACCAATCCAGTCCTATAGACCTTTGTCTCCTTGTAGGGAAAACTAATTCTTGTCACAGGAGGAAGGAGGAAACATGGGCTTAAATTCTGTTATCAGGAAATACTGGTAGATATGAATTCTATTACAACCTCCAAGGTCCCTTTGATTGTATTTCTTTTGAAAGCTACCATAGTTTTTCCTTCCTTACTAAGATTTGACTGGACCATTAAGCAAGTGTAATGATATGGACTCTGGGGAGTCTATCTTTATTCCCACTCACACTGGCAAGTCAGTTCCCCAGATCGTGGTTAGCTACATTGTTTCCCCCTAAGGGTTCTAGGCTAACTAAAGGGATTATGGGATATTCTGTAATGTCATTAGCTCAAGGCTTCATTCTGTTATGCTTCCCCCAGTATCAATCACCAGGGATCATTGTCCCAATATCATTTGCCAAGTAACATAAATTATAGTGGATAGAATATCAGAGTGTAGGTCATCCTCAGTTCTTGCACCTATACCAGCAGGTATAAGCTTTGGAAGTTTCTACTTGAAAAGGCTTTGATTACTGCCCCAGTGACAGAACTCAAGGATCAATCTGAGTACTGAGGGACTCAGTAAACTGGTGATGATTTATTTGGCCATGGCAACACATGAAACAAAGAAAAATAAATTATGACTCTCAGTCCTGATAGTAGTGGAGTAGTGAAAAAAAGAAGAGTCTTAGGTTTTTTAGATAGTCTATAAACATTAACTTATCTCTAAGTTGTCTAAATAGCTGTTTCACACGTTTAGACAGAGATAAATCCACTGGCTAATGAATTACAAAAATGAGTACAGGGAAGGATGGTGAAATGCTAATGTGGTTCAAGTTTAAGAAATATTTCAAATATTTTCATCTGGAAGAGAGTCAGAAGGCACTGAATATGCCAAGCACCAACCAAGATCTTAATTTTGTCTTTCCAGGAAATTGATACTAATATGCTAGTCATATAAGAATTAGCTGTCAGAGCAATCAGACCATTGACTGACTAGTAAGAGCAAAAGTCAAAATCAGTATTAAATTAGAGGAAAGAATAATATACTTAAGAAGATATCGAGAATATCTGTAAGAGCTTCAACTTTATCTATTCAAGACTGCTGTCTCATGCCCCAGACTAAAAAGTAAAAAACACAGAGATATTGACTTTAGTTATCTCCACTTCCAACAAAGGTTTAACTGATTGCAAAGCAATCATTACAATGAGGAGGCCAAAAGAGCCTAGAACCAGTCTTAACCAGCAAACACTTGATAGCTTTGTCAAGTGGAAAGACATGGCAGCCAAGGAAACACTGTTATTAGAATACAAAGTCAAGTGTTAAATAGTAGAAGGAAGATGGTGAAAGATTACAAGTATTATTACATCAAAAGCAGCAAAAAGCAGTGGAATTGAAAGTCTTCAGAAAGCTTTGTATGAGGTTTTCACCACTGTCATGGACTTATGAAAGGTCTAAATAAAAGAGGGATTCTCTAGGAATGGTGAGGTTCTCCAGATGTGATATGCTTGTTATACTATTTGTTTCAAGCCCCAGAACATTACAGGACTTCCTCGGTGATGTCCATGATTTTTCAGTAGAGATAGTAGAGAACAATCTATGCAGGAAAAAGTAAATGGATGAAAGTTGCTTATTGCTAAGACTTGCAATTGGATGAGCTGTCTATTAAAGTAGTGCCTCAGTACATTATCTCCAAATGGCAGTGAGTTGGGTTCAGAATGAATAGGAATAGTCTGGATTGTACTGTTCTTTCAATAATCCCAAGCTGTTCATTGACATAAAAACACTATCTTTTTAACAGAAATGTTTTCCTGATGATGTATGGTTGTGTGTATTCGAACACTACAATAATCAAAGAAGTAAAGCTGCAGATGACCCAGAAGGCAATGGAAACACACATGGTAGGTGCAAGCAGACTTTAGCATATTTCCAACAATGCTATCATAAAGGAAATGTATTATTGGAAAAAGAGGTCGGGTTAGTCATATAGCAAGAGTGATGGCTAGCATATGGGAATCTAGAGCATAAACTAGTTAAACCCATGAAACACCTAGAGGAAGATCCCAATGAAGGATCATAGATAAGAATTAAATAGGAGGAGAAGTGTGGATGGGTTGCAGTCTCCATCAATGGAGGGAATATGCACACTAATGAGCCCACAAATCCATTGAATTATGGCAGTTACCAAATAAACTAGTTATTAAATACTTCTGCAGAAACATGATCTCAATATAGGTACTATCCCTTCAACAGTGTGGATTGAAACTTATCCATACTCTCTTATCCTGTTTGGTTTTTGTTCATATTTTCTCCATAAGTTCTCCACAGAGAATCCACCTAACATAATTAAAGTCTCCCACTGGTTCTTTTAAATTTTTGTAGATACCAGTGCATATTTAGGTAATCCATTGGTTATCCTTTATTCTTTTTTTTTTCCTTGTGAATGGAGATCACCAAGAGTCAGGAATTGAACAGAGGACACTGTCAGTGGAAAAAAAAGAAATAGGAAAAGAAAAGCAAAATGTTTTAAACAGGCTTAATTTCTTTAAAACATTTCGTGGTTTCAAAAATTCTTTTTTCCCACCAAAGGAAATTCAAAAATTTGAGTATTGTATGCAGGGGCAGTAATACAAAATCTTCTTGCATGTGTTGGTGTTTAGAAAAACACACTTTTAACATTTCCCACACTCTTTCTGCTTTGGTATATGCTTTATTCTTGATACATGACTGGCCAACCTTATTTTCATACCTAGAATTATAGGAACATAGCTTGAAGGGACCTTAAAGGCTATTGAATCCAACCCCCTCACGTTACAGATGAAGAAATTGAAGCTGAGAGATGTTATTTGCCCAGTCTTCCTGAAGTCTTCTTGACTTCAAGCCCAGAATTCTATCCACTGTCCTATCACACGTAAAATTCATCACTGGAAATATGCTGTATATGACTTTTTCCCAACATGCTTTTGTATTACCTGCAATTGTGATTCCTTGGCAGTTATGGTATCACATTATTCAAAACCATGTAAGTATTGTTAGTTATTGTTATTAATGTTGAAATGATGGGCTTTTGCAATGGGGAACAGATTGAGATCATTTAAAATGCTGTACAATTTCTTAAATGCAGTTTAGTTCAGTTTTTCCCTTTTATTTCATTCTGAGGCCACATTCTTTAGTAACTTCCTAAGATCTATGTACTTATGGATTGAGTCAATAGATTAATCATTCAACTATTTGTTGTAATTGAGGCAATATGTATTTGTGATCCACTTTATTTTTCCTATTTAGATAGCTAGGCTGATCTCTTTTGAATCTCTGTGGATTTTATTGAGGAGGCAGTACAATGTCATTCGCAAACAAGAACTTCTGTAGAACTTATCCATTAATAGGGAAATCCTCTTCTTTTTGGACCTGGCAAATGATATCTATGACAATCACAAACACCTTTGTTCAGCATATGTTCCTGTTTGCAGTCCTTCTAAGGCTGATGCTCAGGCTTGTGGTGCTCCCATCAGTTCTAGAAGAAACTTATATGATTTTGAGACACTTTGTTTGAGCTGCATTTTGCTCCATGGGCAGCATTCCTTTTTTAAAATTAGCAAATGACAGAGTTGTTTACTTTTTCTTCTTTTTCCCTCTCTCTCCTGTATGACTGTCAAAACATGGTCTGTAGAAAATCAATTGGAGGGGCAGCTAGGAGGAGCTGAATTCAAATCTGGCCTGAGATACTTACTGTGTGACCCTAGGCAAGTCATTTAACCCTGATTGCCTAAAAAAAGAAAGAAAGAAAGAAATTAGAAAAACCTCTTTTCTTCATATGTGTGTGTGCATCAAGGATATCTTTGACGTATACAGCAACATTTTTCATAAGATCTTATAGCAATGAGAAATTAGGCTTATGAATTGTTAGTTGTGGAGGTCTTCATGGTTGGCTTCTCTTTTGGTAATATTACAATCCATGATTTTTTTTTCCATTCTTTTACCAATTTCCACTTTGACTTATCTTGAAAATTGGTCCCTGTTTGACTTTAAAATTGTTACCTCCAGCATAGATTCCCCAAATGAATGAAGCATTTATTAAGCACTTACTATGTACAAAGCAGTATTCTAAATGCTGGGGATACAAATAGAAAAGTAAATCAGTCCCTTCTCTCAATGAGTTCACAATCGAATGAGGGAGACAACAGCTGCAAGTCTTATGATTTTTAAGGGACGGCAGCAAAGCAGATGGTGATGCTTCTTCTTTAACGTCATTTCTATGAATAAAATCAAATAAGTTTCTGATGTTGACAGTGCCAAGGACTTTGGTAGCAAGAACTTTCTTTTCTGGGTCTTTAGTAGATGTGCCTGTCGCACCTGCAAGAGCAGTTGGAAGCATCTGTACAAAGTTGCTTCCCAGGATGATGGCTGAGAGCCCTGAGCTAGACATAATGCCTTTCCCAAGGTTCTTGGGTTCAGGGTTCTGGGTTGCTCTATTAGGGTTTAAGAGGAGATGTTGGTAAAAGTGATAGTGGTGGCTGACCTCTCTGGCATGTGCCACTTTCTGTTTCTCCCTCAAGGTGCCTTGCTTTTTCATCTAGGCTGGCTTGCCATCATTATGGGTGGCAGTTGGTGGGGATAGCTGAGTCCTTCTCTACAGGAGCTGTTTCCTCAGATGGTGACAATAAGGTCTGGGCTGGAAGCTGCCATGCCCAGGACTGTTGTACCTATCTACATGTTGATGGCATTTGGTCAGCAATTTTTTGCATAGTGGTAAGGAAAGTGGCTTCCTCATCCAGAAGCCCTCAATGATGGCTATGGTAACTGGGATAGAGGCAGATCTGGTAGTTTGGGGAACAGACTGTCTCCATCAGGGTCCAAGGGAAGAAGGTGTCAAGGTGGTTGTGGGAGTGCTAGGCTGACTTACGTGCCTTGCATATATATCTTCTGCATTTCATCAGATATCAAAGATACAGCCTTTTAGCAAAAAAACAAAATTCTTTTTTATTATGAACTTAACAATCATCAACTAACACAAACATTCTAAATTTCAAAGAACAAAAATAGGCTGACATATGAAACTGGCTTATATATGAAATTCTAACAACTGTCCTATTTGTGACCCCTTCTGAACTTGTTTTTGTTTTCTTTTGTTTTTTAAATGTTGTATCATCTTTTATTCCTTATTGAGTGTCTCTATAACTTCCCACTAACTCACTCCCCTTAGAAGCCCTCCCTTGTAACAAAAAGCATAGTTTATAACACATAAGCATTGTAGGCATAGTCATTCTTCCTAACTTCATTTTTTAAATGATATTTTCACATCCTCTTCCTCATACAATATATTGGATATTGGAATTGGTGAATCTCAAATGTGGTATTTCACTATCTTTTCTGATGAGCATAGATCACCATAGAAGTGTCAGCAGATCTGTTCCATTTCACATCTATTTGTTTTTCTCCTAGTTTCATCCAAAAGTATCCTTGAGATATGACTGACTCACCCTCATACTAAGTTCTCTGTCTCTGCAATCTTCTTTTCCCATTGAAAACTTTTTTTGGGGGGAGGAGAGAAGAAGACCACAACCTGATGATTGATGGCATGGTAATGGTGATAAATATTTCTGACCACAACAACACTTGTAGATCATATACTTAGTCACTAAAGCAATTTTCATTAGTTACAGGGTTTATTAAACGTAAAGAAATTACAAAGGAAACCATTGAAGGGCTGTGTTCTGACTTGTTCAAAGAAGCACTCATGCTGATGAAATTACAGTGTTGAAGTATTGGAAGAAGTAAGGTAATAGTCTTCTAACATCTTCTTCCAAATGTGACTATATAAAGGATTTATGATTTCATCAGTGTGGGAACTTCTTTTCACCAGCTGCATACCATCTATGACTTGGTGGGTGAATCTTAAGGAGTTGCCTGAAGTGACAGAGGTTAATAGACCTTCCCAGCGTCATACACTTATAATAAATGTTAGAGGAGGGAAGTTGAACTCAGCACTTCCAGTCTCCAAACCCAGAACTCTATTCACTGTAACATTTTTCAGATGAAATATGAATTATATTCAATAGATTAGATAACAATACTTTCCATAATTTTACATGGTACAGCCTGTGTTTGCACTTGCTCGGTATCCAAGATGCCACCTGAGGTCCTGTAATAGGAGTAGCATCCCACACTGGCTTATGTCCTGCCTTCCTTAAGGTCAGAGTAAGACAGTGTGTCACTTTACCATTAACTAGAAAGGGAATACAGTTTATAATTTTGCCCAGTAGGTGGTGCTATACTTGAGCCATCAGCTTAGTGTTATCATCAAGGTCTCTCTGACACATGTGCAAATTCACTAGCTATTTACCTGACAAGGGAATTGCTCCAAGAGGCTATACAAGAAAGAAAGCCTCCCTGGCCTTGGTTCTCAGGCTTGAGTAAAAGATGTTGACATATGTACCTGGATTATTTGAAAATTTATAGGAAAATCTACTCACTCTACACCTAGGAAATTTTCTAGCTCAGTCTTGACCCTATTTTTACATCATGCAGGCAATCAGTTTTCATTGGCTATGTGGTTTATTAAATATAAAAAATTGTAAAGAAATCATTATATACGTTCCTCCCCAAGTGCTTTTCCCAGGCCCTCACTGTACCTGTAAGTCATGGAAAGGGGGTGGTGGGTGGAGGGATTGCTTCTGTCCAGGGCCCAGCTCCAGGTCCTAAATTGGAACGGGGAAAGCAATGAAATAAGGGGGCATGACAGGGCTCAGACTGGCTTACTAGCTTTCTGACCACCAAAGAGGTTTCATGGTAGCTACCAGTCCAGTCTTAACATATAATCTCCTCCACACAGCTTTGTCTCTATTTTTGCCCAAAGATCTCAGCTTCTATAGTACTGCACTCCTGGGTGGTCTATCCCAGC